TTTTTCTGGCTTTATTTGAAAACGAATTTTAAATAATTTTACATTGCTACTTTTTTCACTCTATTCAACACTTTTGCAATCTGACGTTTTGTCTTCGAGGGGCCATCATCAGATTAATTTTTTTAAATATGTCGCTGCTATTTTTATGAAAAAATCTAAAGCCATTTTTAATTCTGAATTAGATAATATAACTATTGTAATCGCTTAAAAAAGTTTTTAGCTATTATTTAAAATTTTTCCTGACTACGGCTCTGAACGCATTATCTATTGGAGGAAAGAGAGAGAGAGAGAATAAAAGTCAACATAGCACAAAATATCCAACAATTTTTCATCAATCATTAATTTAAAAAGTTGTACCTAATAAAAAAAATAATAGGAATTTATGAAATATTTTATTATTTCAAATTCAAATCTTGCGTGAATTTTGGGACACCCGATAGTAATTTCTTACAAGATTACTTTGATCATTGTGCCTAAATATTTCTATCTGATTTTTAATCATACTACCTATTTCTTTTTATTTGTTCTATATTTTACGATAACAAGCTCATGTAGTTTGGGATTATCTTGAAAACTATGAGGAATAAGAGCGATGATTTTATCGTCCCAAATTTAAAGAATTACTTATAATACTTATAATAGATTAATATCTAACACAATGCATAAACAAAAGTAATTTTGACTAATCTTGTATCTCTGCTTATAAGTATTGCATCGAGAAACAGCAAAAACTGTCGTGTTATCTTTTATGGGTAGAACATTGTGTCGTAGAAGATAAAATCTGAGCCTTTTTTTAGTTTCAAATTGAATTCTTTCTCAAACTTCATCGAATTCACTCTGTACTGACATATGTTTAATGTACAGTATAAAGTTATATTTCAAAAATCATAAATGTACCTAAATTATTTGATCAATTTCAATACAAGCAATAGCAGAGGTCAAATATTGTATCTGAATGCCAATAACATTTGCATTTGGAACCATGCAAACCTCAGATTATAACCCCGTGAGTGGATAATTCGAAACATATTTTGTGATATCGATCATAATTCAATAAAATGTGCTTACAATGGCTTTTAACGATGTGAAATATTGCATTACAATAAATTATAAAATTTGGGTTCGAAACGGCAGAATTTATACTTGATGAAAAATGTTCCATTGCTGTTTAAAATACAAAACAATTCTGCTGATGTAGAAATAATATGTGAAAAACAATGCGTACAAATATATTCCAATTGGTTATTGTATATTACCTTATGTCGTGTTCATAAAGAAATATATAAAAAACAAATTGCAAACTTTTGTAGAGTTTTATGGAAATTTTACAAATGTATCAAAGAATTTTCTAAAGTGACTATAAAAATAGAAAGGCATACATGCAGTTAGATCTCATTTGTTAATATTATTACTTAACTAGTTAAACAACTATAAATGTAAACGTAAATGTAATTAGTAACACAAGTGAACTATTTAAATATAATCAAACTGTGAAGACTAAGCAAATTCTGACAAACATTTTCAGTGACATGAACTTTGTAAACTATACTTTCAAAACGGTATGGCAGCAAATTACGAAATGTAGTTTAGCTTCATAGATTTCAATTTATATAGACTGTAAAGTTGATGCGAATCGACAAAACATTAGTTCGTTAAGTAAATTATGACGACGGAACTTGTAACAATTATTATTTATGACATGAGTCCGCTGATTAATTTGCGAAAATTTAATTTTCTACAATGTTCCCAAACAGTATTGTTTAGGCCATATTGTATCGGTAATTTATTTCAATTATGTGTAATAATCACAAGTTGGGAATTATACTGCTACATATACTCCAATACACCATCAAACTATCGATTATTGCATCTATTTTAAGCATAGTAACTTCATATTTGCTGCTTTTATTATTATATTCATGCATGGAAAAAGTAACAGTAACTTGCAGTGATCAATAATTGAGAAGTGATACAATATATGATTCTTTCTGTGAGCCATGGGCATATCGTGTTTTGTTTTTGAAATACTTTATTTTCGTACTTTGCTCTAGACTTTCGGCATCTTATGTTCTTTCACTATTTCTGATATCTCCCCTTCAGAATCGCCATATTTTTATCAAAATCAATATCAATAATTAAAAAAAAACAATATGTCGACTTTAACCATGGTTCATTGTTTATGTCACTGTAGCAACGAAAAAGTAGAACCTCTAGTAAAAGTCAGATAAGTTAGGATCATTTTGTTTATTATTAGTGACAGGAAGTACAAAATTACAGACCATATCAAAAGGTTACAGTGGCGTAACGTTTTTAAAGGGTCATTTTTAATATATCAAAGAAAATGCACGGTTGTAGATAAAGGATTGTACGGGTATTGTCTGAAGTTGTTTATTTGCGGCATAGTTTTCGTTTTTTTCTTTATTTATTTGGGTACCTATTTTGTCACCCGTGAAAAATGTTTTAAAAATAAATATATAAAATAAAACCTTTGCACCATGTGGATCAGTCAAAGGTTATTTTTATGAAAATAGTTTTGCCTAATCAAAAAATCTCACACTGAAAAAATCAGACAAATAGAAAATATAAAAATATGTACATCACTTAATATCGCGCACTTTAAAAAGGTCGTTAACGTTTCGAAATCTACTATTTTGATTTTTTAACTTTCCGTTTTAATAGGTTTCACAATTTACATTTGTTTGCTTTTGTCTATTTCCATAGCTAGAGATCCCATATGATGTTTATTCTATTATTAATTACTTACTTCATCTCTTAGAATCTGGAGCTAGCATGAATCCAAGTTCACAGAATAATTTGACACGAATCTTTCACCATTCAACATAATAATCACGGTCTGTTTTAATTTTCTTTTAACGGTATTATTATCTTCCTTTTCCAAAATTTTAGCAGAACCCCATTAAATGGTATGACCGTTTTCCCAATCATGACTATAAATTTTAGATTTCTCAAGTACTCGTTTTTTAATGTAATTTTTCTGTTCATCTACTCTAATATTCAAAGGTCGAGAAGTCACTGCAAAATAATGTTTATTGCATTCGCAAGGCATGCTATAAATACAATTTTTTTTAATTGAAAAATATAATTTGGGCGCGTCTTTGATAATAAACTCCATAAAGTATTATTTGTCTGAAAAACTGTTTTAATGTCGAATTTGTTACCTATTTTCCTTAATTTTTCCGATAGTACAAGTACATGTGGAATTCTTTTTGTGGATGTACTCTCTCGGTATTGTCTAACCTATCTAAAGTGCGCAATATCAAGTGGTGGGTTTTTGTATTTTCTATTTGTCTGTTTTTTTTTCAGTACGGTATTTTTTGGTTAAGCAAAATTATTTTCATAATTGTATGATCCGTTTGGCGAAAGATTTTATTTAACAATTTTTTTAAAATTTTTCCTGAGGTGGCAAAATGCTCAAAAAATAAAGAAAGGAAAAAGAGAAAGAAAATAAGGATTGTACCTACATACAACTTATGATAACTTTTACCGCACGAGATTGAACATTGCAAAACGAGCAGTAGTACTGTAGGAATTAAGGGAAAAAATTCTACGCACTGGGCTATTTTAACCGTTCAGTGGTAATTTCTTTTTTATTCTCCTTCCAATATGCTTAGTTTTATGATCCTGATGCGATAATTTCATATATCTATATTTTTTAAAATCGAGTGAGAACCCATCAGCCTTAACACCAAAGATAATAATAGAATAGAATAATTCGGTATTTAAAAATTAAAAAATAAAAAATTTCGTATCTGAGGTTGATTGAACAACGAAAATAATCATAGCTTCACAATACTTTTTAACCTTATTACTAAACCCAAAAGCATAACCACCGGCATTGAATTACACTCGCAACACTGAATGTAACATCGCTCGTCAGTTTAACTCACCAGGCACAGACCGGTTTCAGACTTATTAGTCCTCATCAGTGTGTCATAGGTCCAGCTGTTATAAAGTCGTATACTCCCGACCTAGATATTTTTCAGCTTATATTTCGACTCTTAAGCCATAAACCTATAACTATAAAAAACTAACCTCAAGCCCTTCAAAACCTAACCCCAAACCCTCGAAACCAAACTTCAAATTCTAAAAACTTGAGTTAGAATTCATAGAATGTATATGTTCCACACCAAAGAATAAAAGTCCTTCAAAACTATTTTCAGGAACAGATATTTTTTATTTTGAAACTGCTAACCTCTATTCTTAAATATCTATCCTCAAATCCAAGAATTCTGAGCTAGAAAGTCAAATGAAGGATATTTTCCGAACCAAAGAATGTGGCTTCTTGAAAGCTCTATTCTGAAACTAATATTTTATATTTCTGAAGTTTCAAACCTATGCTATGTCCATAAAAACCTAACCTCAAACCCTTGAAATTTATTCTCAAATCCACAAGAAATAAGTGGATATTTAGATAGATACAATTTCATTCCATAAATTTTAAAAATTTCAGCTAAAAACTCGTTAACTTTATTTATATAAGACTTAAGTCCTTTTACCGCGTCAAGGTCTTTAAAAGGGTTGTTTTTCTGTTTCTTAATTTTACTTTCTTTTTGTTTTTTTCTGTTTTTTTTTGTTTTTGTCTACTGCGAATTTTTATTCAATGTTACAAACATTTTCATTTTATTTTTATTATCTTTGGTGTTGAGTCTGACGGGTTCTCACTCGTCTCGCCGTTCTCATTTTAAAAGATTCCTATACTTATATATCAATATATTGTCGCACCAGGATCACAGAAATTAAGCATATTTGAAGAATAATAAAAAAGAAATTACCAGTGTACGGTTAAAATAGCCGAGCGCGTAGAATTTTTTCCCATATTTCCCACTGTGCGTGCTTAGGTGAGATTTGTAATCAATCGAGTATGTACATACTCATACTCATAACTACTTTTATAAAACTATTTTATTATTTTCTATGTGACTGTTTACATGAGTTATTGCAATTTTAGTACACCGGAATAAAAGGAACTCTTGTTTCAGGATCATCATGAAGCTGTTCCTGGCAGTAATAGCGATCGCCTTCCTGGCGGGAACAGCCAGGGCAGGCCAGTTCTTGGGCGCATATAATTTAGTGCCATCGCCGGTCGTAATACCCCAGACGTACAACGGCATCGGCGTTATCCCGGGCGTCATACAGGCCCCCCAACAACAGACCGACATATCTCACCCCGCAGTAGTTGAAAACGCTATCGCCGAATCCCAACTGCCGCCGGAACTGCTAAATCCATTCTACAAAAACCCCGGCGTGGCATCCGCCCTCGCCAAGGAGTCCTGGTTCACTAACAAGGAGTTCCTAGTGCGCCACCGTGAAGCCGAGAAAATCCCCAGACAAGAAATTTATAAAATCATCTCCAGGTTGCAGCACCGACGATGATAAATCGTTGCAGTTTCTACGTTTTGACTTTTTGTGGCGGGTGAATGGATGGATGTGCGTTTCGGACGATTTATGGAGTGACTCGGATATATGTTGTGTGTGTTGTGATGTTACTATTTATCAATTTGTAAATATATTATTAATGTTTGTTATCATATTTCTTTTAATTCTAGCACCTATGCAGAAATAAATGGGTTTTTATAATTTGGTATATGTACATTTTTTTATATTTGTAACATTTTTCTACTAAACCGCTCATTAGATCTAACAAGAAAAAAACAGACAGAATAATATTCTGTCCTACAACGCTTCTCAAGGGCCTATATGTTAACAAAAATTGGACAACACAACGTACACATAGGACAAAATGAGTTCAAGACGGTGAGAATCACCTCTCAGTGAACTACTACACTACAAAATGCACCATAGTAGGAGTGAATAACACACAAGTTCAGCACAGTAAAAATCATAACTTGAGCTGTCATAATTGGCCGCGCACCAAAGGCGTGCGGACCATCAACATAAAATAAAGTGAACAATGATATAAGATTTATGCCAATCTATCAATGTGAAACACGTAAATTGTATTACGCATCGTTGCCATCGGTTTCACAATCTGGATGGGATCCATTATAGATCGCATCATCAGGTATGCTTTTACCCTTGTTTCCTCGAGACTTATTCGCGGCGTTGATAAAATATCTTAATATGAAGAGAATCACAGTTCGACATCTACTGATGTAATCTCTGCATAATTAAATAATCTACTTCCAAGCTGGTCCGATATGATAATTTCCACTCGGGGTTGTATTATATCAAATGGTAGGTTACATGCAATCACTATGAAGATTAAATCAAACATAAATCGAGTCTTCTGGTTTTCGTTAGTTTTTTATATGTGTGTTGTACACTGTTTAGTACTTATTACTTTATGTTTATTAATATTTATTTTAAACTTTTTATACATATACAAGTATGTATATACTTACTGATGTATATGTTATTGTTTATATTTTTTAGTAAAAGAAAGTACTGTTCGTTATTTAACTTTCCCTATGACTTGAAATAACACCTGTTGAGTGCCGCTTTGTTCAACTGTACTACTCATAAAGCTGTGATGCTGACTTAAGTACATAATTTATTATTCCTTGCCTTTTTATTAATTTTATAAAAAAGGCAAACATTGAAACGAAGAGAACAACTAAAATTTTTTATTTCAAAAATATATCTCTGTTTTGTTTTCCACCTGAATAGTTTTTATATGTTAATAATTTTATAGCTATCTTAGCGGTAAATTTGTTTGTTTTTTTTGAGTCAGTATTGTAGTATAACAACCCCAGGATCGATCGAAAAAAAGAAAAATAAACGTAATTGTGGCCAAAAATATGTGATCGTCATAAGGAATACATACGTTGTATGTATCTATTTTTAATTGACCGGAAGGCGCTGGCTACTAACTTTAAAGAGGGGAAGTATGGTTTAATTTTATAAAACAAAAGCAGAGTAAATACACCTAACTTTATTATTTTTGTACAACAGTCTTCAAATTAAACATGTGACAAATATAAAGAACAACAAAAACATTAACAACCATTTAACATAAAATGAGAGTGCCAGGCTCACCTAGAGCTCCTGTGGGGAAAGAGCATGGCAGAGAAACCCACGATCGTTGCTCTAACTACCCAAATATAAATACAAAACAACCGCTAACAAAAGGCATAAATTAAGATCCTTTGCTAATGATAAATAACACCCGACTTATTTAATTTCTCACTAAATGTCACCTCACTCGAATTAGACATACACACTTCCAAGTAAAACTGAAGAGGTTTGGTGCTAGTTAGCCGGCAGGGCCGGAAGGTAATAATAACAACAATAATAACAACAACAATAACAACAATAATGACAACAATAATAATATGCTTCATTTCTCCTGAGACATAATACAATGCATGGAAAACGTCAAGTAAATACAATAAAATTCAAGGTACTGGAGTCCCATACGGGAGGCAATCCAGAGCAATTATTTTTTTTGTATTAAATTATTGTTTTTACAGATTTATTCCTCACGGGCGAAAATGTTAGTAAATTCAACAGGGCTCTTATATGCGTATGACATAAAGTGAGAACAAGAAATGCTTTATTAGTTGTTTTTCGAACAACGTAATCATGACAAAAGTTAAATGTGAAACAAAGGAGTTGTTATTGCATTATCCGGGCAGTCACGACAATATATACATATTTTAGCATGTAATAAATAATGAGCAATCTTTAATAATAATTGTAACAATTTTACGTTAGAAAAATATACCTACGCCCCTGAGCGTAAGACAATGAAGGCTAAACATACACAGAATTTTTATCATCACAAGCATAAGATTACATAGAACAATTAACAACAAAGTACTTAGAGAATAATTACCTGCTAACTAATACCGGTTAAACACTTTTAATTTTTCACTACTTATATATTTTCACCGTGCACCGATCGTCTTACTTTTCACTCTGCGCTGTTCTCACCTCAACTATCTAGGCTTCCTTTCAAAATTCCCCACCTAAGCGCTTGTTCTTGTGCTTTCCTCTACCAACTGTCAATATTACGTTTTCATTATTATACAACACTCATGTACCAGGTGACGTCGAAGTTGATACGATAAGTATGGTTTTGCACAGTATAGTATGAATTGTTTGCTACTTTTTAGCCTAACTAACTACTCTCGACATAATTGCACACAATTATGCATCAAAAGACAACTAAAATTGTAAAAATCGTTCGATAGCGGACCGATTGTGACAGCTCTAATCATAACTAACATACAATGATAAAACTTAAGAATGGTGTTGAATATATACAGATTTAATTATACACAACACACAGACAAAAATATTGCATATTTTTTTTGTCATTATTTTTATTTTATTAGTATTAAAATTTATTTCGGACAAAAAAACTGTTTAAACAGCTTTTATAGCTGAATAAGCAATAATTTTTCAAATTACAAACATCACTGTGTGCTTTGACGACTAACAGCGACTGCTGTTTTGATTGTTGTGATCTCAATGATATTTCCAGTGCTTTATTTCTTGTTTCGGTAGTTTTGGTTACTCATGAGAGGAAGCATTTAAGCGAGTTAGTTTACTGTTAAAATGGTTACTTTGGCCAACGATGGTTACATACAAAAATATATTGCTGGGAGATTGAATATTCATTAACCGACCGTTTCTCGTAGAGTAAGTAAAACGATACAATGAGACTTGAGAATACAAAAGACGGCCTGGTCAAGGACGTAAAAGATGTACAACGCCAAGGGATGACCAATATTCGAGAATTCAATCTTTGCGAAATCGCTCACTTACGGCTCTGCATCTGAAAAATAATTACTGATTACAAGACAAGTCAATGTAAGTGTTAAAACAGTAATAAGAAAGCGGTTTTGACACGAAACTTCCTACTAAAGTTCTTGGGCTTCTCCCACGTTAAAAAATCAGACGGTTATAATTTGCAAGAGCCCACTCTAATTGGAATGAACATCAATGGGGAAAAGTGCTTTTCACAAACGAAACATGAATGCAATTATGGAAGCCAGATGGACGTGGTCTAGTGTACAGGATGTCTAGGGAACGTTTTACAGAATGTAATCTTGTAAAAAACATTAGTTTTTGTGGGGGTTCCATTATGCTTTGGGGAGGCATTAGTTAGGAGATCCGCACGGAGCTTGCTGAGGTAAATTTAAGAATGAATGGTTACTGGTACATATACAACATACTTGAAGGTCATATTTTGCCTTATGTCGCATGTCGGCTTCAATGGGTACGATAAATTTGCTTTGCTGCTAATACATGATAATGGCTGGGTTCATGCCGCTAGAACAACGTTGAGGATGTCGGCATTGAGGCTCTAGAGTGGCCACCAATGAGTCCTGATGCTAATCCTATAGAACATTTATGGGATGCGACAATAACGAACACGAAATCCAGCTCAACTCAATTGCAGAATTAATTGCACAGGAAGAATGGAATCAAATTCCGCAAGAAACTATCAAAGATCTTCTGCGGGGCATGCCTAAGAGGATGCAGGCTATTGCTAGAGCTGGAGGGGGAAATATTAAGTATGTACTAAATGTTATGTTACCTTAGACTATTGTTATATTGTCATCATTGTTTACTTTTTCTAATAAAATGTGATCACCAAAATCAGACTATTTTTTTTAGCTCCTATTCTGTTGAATCTGTAGATCCTGTCTGAACCTGTTATCAAACTTCAATATGTAATTTATTTGACTATAATACAGCTACGTAAAATAATCCAGTCAAGGCATCTAGTAATAAAAAACACCAAAAGTTTTAAGAAAAAATAATAAAATAAAAATAATGACCTTAAATAAAATAGGCAATATTATTGTCTGTGAGTGTATTATATATCAGTTCGGCATATGTGACCATTTAGTTAAATAAAACAGTTTTTAAAGGTTTTAAGGATTTTTAGAGGTTTTAAATTATGATACAATTCGATTTTTTACATCAACATGATATTTAATTTCGTTCTATCCTTGGTTAATAAATATTTCTTTAATTGTAATTTAAAATTGCTATAGGTACGGGACTTAAGACTTGTAAAAGGATCAATTACTAATATACATCTCGGTCTCAAGGATATCTCAACTTTGTTAAACAGTAGCAGATCCATTGTAGGCACCTGTAAAAGTATTTCTGTAAATTGCCTCTTGTAACACACACTATTTGCAATACTCTTACCTACATGTGCCTCTAAAATGTATTATGTGAAAATAATTGTCTTAAATCTGGGATACCACTCCTTTCAAGAATTGTTTCCCAATAAAATATTTTCCCTTTACATTACATTACAGCATTATTTTATTACCTTTTATATGCCTAAACCACTGGCAATAATACTTAGTTATTTTTCGTCAAAATTTATTGTTGTGATATTCATAAACGACAGTTATAGAAAATATACTTATATATTATAAAAGGTTATATAACATCAGTAGAAAGAGGAAAATGTGTGTAACCTTTTACTAATTGTAAGTATGTAAATTCGGAAACTTGTCCGCAATTTTTTTGACATGATATTTTTTCTTAAGGGTGGTCATATTTATTAAATTTGAATTAATACTTATGTTTTTGCAAAAATATTTCGTAGGTATTTATTTATTATGCAATGTTTATTCGCTAAATTTATATTTGTTC